CTGTTCTACACCAACCATCATTTTTTTTTAGTTTGCTGTTCAGCCAAAGGCATTAGCCGGGGACTCTAACCGTCGTTGGAACCGGAATCAGGTCCCAGGCTATACGGTAGTCCACATGCAACCACGTGCATCGTTACCTCTTGCCGCATCGGCCGCCGTATAGTGCTCTCAGCCTTGTTAACTCGCTGTAAACAGTTTAGTGGACAAGTAGAAATCGGATAGTACTGATCCGTCCATTTTCTCCTACTTCATTCTTTGAGACTGCCCCACTACGTCTACGCTTATATCGACTGTGACGGTCATGAACATTTCGAAATAATCTCTCAGTTCATCTGGCAATCTTTAACTTTCTTACCCTGAAACAAGCTAGAGAACACGCTGCTATTGTTTAACTTTGTACTTACTTCATAATATAGTGTGTTGTCTCTGAGACGTGCGTTCGGCTCTCCAGCACGGTCGTTGAGCTAACTATCACGTCGATTGGCACAGTATTTCGAACGGCAATTCAGATGGCCACCTGCTACTCCCAATCCAGAAAAGTAGACCGTAAATATGAAGCAACCTTCAGTCTCAGAAGTGTCCGAATGTATTTCTATACTCAGGCCTAATCGTGCTGCTGTTCCTGACGATCTTCCACCTGCTCTTTTCAAGGATGGCGGTGGGCTCGTCAGGCAGTGCCTGTCTAGCCTAGTTGGGTTTATCTGGAGAAAGGAGACCGTCCCAGACAAATGGGGTGAATTGATAGTGGTACCCATTTTCCGAAAGGGTACTCGCAGTGAACGTAGTGACCACAGAGGTGTTATTTTGACGCCTGTTGTGACAAGGCTTCTGGCGTCATTGATTCTTCGTCATCTTGCAGTGGCACGCGAAACCTTGGCTCATGAGAATCGAGCGGGATTTCGACCGGGTAGAGGCTGCGTTGACCACGTCTCCAAACTCCGCCAGGTGTTAGAGCAATGCCACATGTACAGACGACACAATCTCGGTATTGCTTGACTTCATGGGTGCGTTCGAATCTGTCGATCAATCAGTGCTGTCAAATACAATTGCTCAACAGGGCATGCCCCAGAAGTTTGTAAGTGTAATCCGATCCCTATATTCACATACTTCTGGGCGGGTGAGAGTGTATGGTGAGCTCTCCAAAAGCTTCCGTACAAAAAGTGGTGTCAAACAAGGATGTCCACTCTCCCCATTCTTGTTCAACTTCGTCATCGATGAAGTAATGATGCGAACAGTGGACGGTTTTCAAAACCCCGGTGTTCAAATTGTAGCTGGTGAGTGCCTTATCGATGATGACATCGCCCTCATCTTTGAAGACCAAAGCGAAGCACAAGCCCTGTCGATTAAACTGACCACCTTCATGCCAACTTTTAACGTGCATCTTGCACCTTCAAAGTGCACAGTCATTCTTCAGAATGTGCAGTCTCCGAACATATTTCTCAGAATTCAAGAATAACCACGAGATTTTGGAAAACTTTACATACCTCGGTAGTTGTATTAGCTCTGGCGGAAGTGTCTCTGATGAAGTTGGTGCAAAAATCTCAGGCTCGATTCGCGTTTGCTAATTTGTGTCACTTGGGGCGTCAAAAAGGCATCTTACTAGATCTTAAGGATCGTGTGTACCAGGCTACAATAAGGGCTGTGTTGTTGTATGGGTGCGAGACATGGCCTCTGCGGACAGATGATATGAGGTGTCTTCAAGCGTGGCTGGTTTTGGATGACCTCAGCGTGTTAGTAACGAGGTGATAAGAAAACGAATGTTTGGTTGTGGTGCGTGTCTTGCAATCCGGGAAAAAATCAAGCATCATCGACTACGACGGCTCGGTCATGTGCTGCGCATGCTGAAGCACCGTCTACCGGGACAAGTGTTTTCTCCGTGCATTCTTCAGGGTGGCAAAAATCGCGAGGTGGACAATGCATGACTTGGCAGAAAGGCGTGAAAGAGATCACGAAGAGTTTGGGTGTTCTGGTGTTTTACGCCTTCCCAGATGGGGTCCCCGTGACCCCGTCTGTGCTTGGCTGGTGGCGTTGCGAGAAATAGCGACTGAGGCTCAGTTCAGACGAGTCCAGAAGCAGCGACAGTTGTGACCGCCTGCTACGTTTATATGCTAATCATAGACTATATCTCTGCCGGAACAACCGGAACCGCTTGGCCACATCGTTAGCTATGGGTGGAGTGCACCAATTACTGATTGGCGCTCCTTCTGGAATATCTATGTGGATTCTGATCACGCGTTTTTCTGTTGCTGCATTTTTTTGTACTTTCTGGAGGCGGGCTGGATTCACACGCCTTGTCGGGGTATTGAGATGCCGTATGCCTTAATGTAAACAAACATCCATACAACCTGCAGAAGTCTCTTGGACAATGCGTCCTATGATTTTAACCTCCACTTGGAGCTACTATATGCAAGGGGCGAGATGGCCGAAGTGGTTAGAGCGCGGATTACTAACCTGAAGGTCCGCGGTTCGAATCCGACCTCCGCCACTCGACTTCCCCTGTGTAGGCTTGGGCAACCTGGCAGTATCCCAGCCCTCGTGCTTCCTTCGGGTGGCATGGCAGCTAGGCACCGGAAGGGTGCTACAGCTGAACGCCTTATCTTTTTATCTTTACTATATGCAAGAACGGCACAATCATTGTCAAAGCCTGGATTTCGGTTAGTACTCTGAATTTGCTGACAGATTGAAAGTGTATTCCTGCCATTTGAGAGTAAAGCTGAGCTTGACGAACAATCACGTTTAAAAGACTATCTACGTTGGTAGTAGTGAAGGATCGAAACTCTGGGAATTTTCGGTGCACGCATTGGGCCAAAAAAGGTCCTTCATGAGCGAAACAACTAACGGTAAAAGTGGGGTGCTCATCGATGGAGAGTAATATCGCTGTAACCTTGGGTTGGGTACTGTCAACAATAATTGAGTTGACCTGCTATTGTTCAACGAGATTCCCGACCCGCAACGGAGCCCTGTACAATGAACTTGGAACATCTGAATTACACAAATGTTTTTTACTCGAGATCCATAAAGTTGCTGCTACTTCTGCTGCTGCTGACAAACTACGCTTCTTTGTTTGAACATGGAAGTTATACTATCGGTACTTTTTAACATATTTACCTCTATATGGTTAAAAGTGACTGTCCCAGCCAACTGTTCAGTTGACAGCACCGCATGTTTCCAATAGAAATCTCCACAATGAATGGCAATTACAGAGGAAGCACCTTGACCTCCGTTGTAACCAGGCTCTTTTTATCGCTCGTTTTACATCGTCTTGGGGAAGTGCGTTAAGGCGTAGCCTGAGAACAGTAGGCAGCATTGCAGCCAGAACAGGATGGGTAAGCCATATCTCCATATTCCGCCAAGTGTTGGAGCAACGGCATAGGTACACGAGCCGAAAGATTCTGCTGTTCACTTCAAATATGCGTTACATTCTGTTGACTGGTTAGTCCTTTTCAACACACTTGCGCAGCAGGGTATCCCCAAGATATCATAAACATTCGCTGTTTGTATTCACATGTTTGCGGATACATTGGACTGTGTGGAAAGTTCTCCGGTAGTTATCCTATAAACAGGTATCTTTCTTCACGAATTTACTAACCGGACTTCTGCCCGTCGATTCCCCCTCCCTAGGCTTGGGTGACCTGACAGTATCCCAGCCTCGTTCTTCCTTGGTGGCTGCTAATTAGGCACCAAAACGGTGCTATAGCTGAAGATAACGAGGCGAACGTTGGAAGGTCCTCAAAACCTCGATGTTCAGATCCCTCCGAATGAGAACCTTCTCGACCTGGAATAGGAAACGACATTGTTTTCGCTTTTGAAAAGTGGGAAACGCAAGCAGTTCTAGAAAACCTTATCGAAATTCCGCAGTCGTGCTACCGGACATAATCTTTAAATTGCCTCGAATAACTCAGGGAATGATACCTGAATTTGCGGAGCCCTATGCGTATCTTGAAAATTGCAATAACTCTGACGGTAGTGTGACGAAGTGTTGACACGAATTCCAAAGGCGAGAATTTCGTTAGCCAGTCGGTAACGCTTGTAACATCAGAAAGGTATATATACTCAAAGGACGCGTATATCAGACTACTGTGTCGAGTTTACTGTTGTACGGTTGCGAGACTTCTTCAAACCGAGCACAGGATCTCGGAAATTTTCAGGGCTTTCACCACCAACGTGGTCACGTGGTCAAGCTATTTCCACTATTCCGGAAATTGGTACAGCAAAGAACAGTCTGTGATCGGGACACTTCTGTAGTAGGCGATCTCCTTTGCCCGTACGCCTCATATCCGACCCAAAAACGGCCTTGCAGTTGGTCATCAGCATCGTTTAGTCTGCCTACCTGAGCACTCAAGTCATCAGCAACCACAACGTCTGAGAATTTAGCCCGTTGTAAAAGGTCATAGAAACTGTCTTTGGCAGTTTCAAAGCCACAATAGTTAGGACGTAGGCAAACACAATAAACAGGGTGGGATGGACCTCACGTTCTCGAGGTTCTGCCGCACGATCCGCGGTTATCAGCGGGCATTCCTTGAACGAAATCATATCAGCTTGACATGTGTAGCTTGGCTTGTGGTTTGCGATTGATATGGTGAATGGAACTGTGTTGTTAAAGTTTGCTGAAGTTCATTCCTCTCTCTGTTTGCTGTATCACCTTTTCAGTGCTGAATTTATAAGTCATTGTATCAGAGGGGGCGAGATGGCCCAAGTGGTTAGAGCGAGAATTAACTGATTGGTAGGTCCGCGCTTCGAATCCGACCTCCGCCACTCGACTTCCCCTGTGTAGGCTTGGGCAACCTGGCAGTATCCCAGCCCTCGTGCTTACTTCGGGTGGCATGGCAGCTAGGCACCGAAAGGGGTGCTACAGCTGAATGCCTGTAACAGAGGAGATTCAGGATCGGCTTCTATTTTTTTCCGGATTGGCTTTAGGGAGTTTTTTCTCGAGTAGATGTCTAGTCGAAAATTCATGCAATCACATTGGTTTCCTCAAGCTGATGTTCCTCTATAGTTTGAAATGTTTTGCTGGTTTAACTTTCAACTATCCCCCAACATTGACATTGAGTAATTAAGTGACAGCATCCAGCTGCATCTTTTATGTTTTTCGTTCTCTTGCTAACAGTCACGCATCCCTAACATTTGGTACCGTTCGGGGTCGGTCCTGTTTGTGATGACGATATTCGTAAAGGTAGTGCAGACAGTTTCTGAAACAGAGTGGGGTCGTTGGACCTTACTTCGTATTAACTGACTGTAGGACATCAATTTTTTTAAAAGGCAAACACTGTCCGTCTTAGCACACTTCCTTTTTTTGAACAGCCGAACGGAAGATATCCAACGAAGAGCTGGAGGATATGCTGGAGTCTGGGAATCCAGCAATATTCACCCAGGAGGTAGGTATACTAGAATTTCAATTTTTGTAGTTCTTCACTTATGATTATTGAGACTCCATCAGGGAGCAAAATATGACCTCGGGGATGTTTGAGTATGTCCTGCCGGTGCAAATTTTATCAGTGACCTTGTCCTGCTACTTCCCCCATCCTGAAGAGACTGAGTCTCACTGTGGTGCAATCGTCTGTGTGCCTATGGACCCCAGAAACCGCCTTTGAGCGAAAACATTAAGGATTAATGTGCGGCCGCCTTGAATAAAGAAGAACACCTCAACCGCTGGGCCGAATCTTTTAACAGCAATTCTTGTGGCCAGCCGCTGCCACCCACTGAGATTCTAAAGTTGAATTAGACCCCAGGACGGTGGACCTAAAAACCCCTATGGCTTCCGAGGCTTATCACTGTACATGTTCTCCCAAACTCCACCGAGCTCCTGGTCCGAATGACCTCCCATCCCCATTGTTCAAAGTCCTCTTTCAGGTCCTGTATGATCTGTTGCCTGCATTTGGGAAAAGAAGACTCCCAGACAACTGGGCAGAATTGGTTATAGTACCCATTCTCAAAGAAAGGAAGGGCCGGTAGTGAGTGTGGTAACCACAGGGTATCAGCTTGTCTCCGATCATAACGAGACTGTTGGCGTCACTTGTGCTTCGCCGCCTTATGGTGGCTCGTGAGATATCGGATCGGGAGCATCAAGCGAAATTCTTTCCTGGTAAGGGTTGCGTCGGCCAACTCTTCACATTCCACCATCTGCCGAACCGTGATTTATTTGAAGTCTTATTGTGGAGGAAAGAATAAAAGTGGACGGGGGGTGGACGTACTGCTCGTCTATCACAATAATTCCGAGCTGCATACACCTCCAAACACTCATTCAGGCAATCTGGATAAAAACTGACAGAAAGGACGTCAACGCCACCCGTTAGCAGCCATATCTTGTAGCGTCTCCAACCAGGTGCAATGGGGATCACTCGGTCTCCATCCTGGAAGGCGAGATGCACCGTCTCAGACTTTTCGTACTCTCGTTCATACCCCTCAACCAGGTCAGAAGTTAGCCACCTCTCTGCTTCCGCCGCTCTGAATCGGGAACGGAAAACAACACTCTCCGGCAACCGGTGTTTCGGGATGCGCATATATGGTCTGACGAACGCAGCTTCTAGTGCTGGATACATTCTTCTATGGCACTCCTCGTTGCACAACCGAACGCTTGCTTTCTACTTGCCTTATTTCTGGTTCGCAGACACCAACTTACACGAGCCATGGTTCTTAGATAATGGCTGTCGAATACCTGAAGGCGTCTAAGTTCTGCCGCTCGAGCACTTTTGTTGCTTCTAATTGTAGCTCCTCTGTTATTCATATCGTGAAAGACAGTCGGTTAGTTTATCCAGGATTGTCAATGGGAATCTGTTAGTATGCATCTCTTTTCGTCGCGATAACCTCAGTAGCCAGAAGGATATAATTTCATTACGGCCGTTTGCTCTGCGGTTCTGTGACCCAGAGAATGGACGTTGTTTTGTCTGGCTTAGCTCAACAGAGGCTTATGTCAACTTCACAGCAGGACGCCCTACCACCTGCTTGTATGTTAGTATGTGCTGTGTGGTGAGATCACCCGCTGACAGTGTTTGGTGCACAAACACCGCAGACCTCGAATTCATGAGAACTAAACTAGGCGGCAGACTTTCACCGACAGATCTTAATGCAGACAATTTGGGAAAAGCAACGCGTAATCTGTCAAAAAAGTACTAAAGGTGTAGAAAGTTACTCCTAGATTAATCGAAATGCTTCCAGGCCTTGTGAACACCATTGTTCATTACGTTCGGTAGCACAGTGCTGCTTGTGGAACCAAATCCCACTATTTTGCCATTTTCAGTCCCCAATTCGTAGTCTTTCCACATTTAACTCCACAGAATCGGACCCCATGCCTGCGGGGCTTTTGTTATGACCATTAATGGCTATTCGTTTTCGTGTTCGCTTCCATGAATTTAATGGCTTGCAGTAATAGTCTCCGGACGTATCGACTGTCATGTGTATACTAATGGGGAATCATTTTCACTGGCGCATGAAAAGTGTCGGTTATTGTTGGGTCTGTTTGTGGTAAGGATAAAGGGGATTTGAACGGGGTGAGACCAGCACACGAAATGACGCAACGTGAAGCTGAGATGAATACAATATTAGTTTCTTTCGGACATGAAATGAAATTTGTGCCTTGAAATGAACCATTTCAGAGTATGTGGGTGAATTTCTGTCGTGAGTCTTGGCAGTGATCCGCAGTTATCTCCAATGTTTGTTTAGCTGGTATGCACATTCCTACTCACATCAACCCAACTATTTCTCTTCATTCGAAATAGAAGATTCCTTTGCTAACGCCAAGTATTTACATCCGGTGGAAGTGAACTCCAGCTAATTCTGGCTCGGACTTCAGCTGATTTAAAGTTTACCTACCGATAAAACTATCGTACTAACAAGTGATTATATGTTCCGGCGGTCAGATGTGGTCTTCCCTTTTGTTTCGAAATGGTTCTCAACATGCTTAGGTCTTAAAGGTGACTGCTATTTCCCGATGTTGTGTCTTGCAGTCATTTCGGCGATATTTTTGCTACACACGGGGGCGTAATCCCTCCCTGTTCTAGTTGTGTTGACAAAGTAGCGTACTTTTGATTTATTATGAATCTCCATATGATGTTTAAGTAGTCTTTATTCTGGAGTGTCTGATAAGGCCGTCGTTCCCCCTTTTTTGGACTTTATTCTGTTGTAGTGCGTCAAAATCCGTTTGAATTAAGTTCAAACGAAACTTCATTTACTGAGGTTTTCTGAATCTATGATTGTGTATATATTTCAGTTTGTGAGATATCATCTGAATGGTTAGGGTTAACAGTCAGTGGATGATTTTACAACGTTGTTCGCTGACAGGCGCCCGACGGTGTGCTGGAGTGATTTTCGCTCAACTCCCCGGTTTGATTAGTTCAGCAAGATACCTCTTGACTCACTGGAAAATCAGATAGTGCCACTGTGCCATTGGCACTTGTGATCGGTCCTCTCTGAATTTGGTGAAGACAGTTGTAGAGTGGTCTAGTATCGATAGTAGACGCAAATGTATCGCAATTTTAAGGGTGCACGGGCCAACTGGAAGAGTGAACACAAATGTTGCAGCGTTATTCTGTATTCACGTATATACTCCGAGTTTTGACAATCTCTATGGCTTTCACTCCCCAAACAATATGTTTTCAACCACTTCTATTGATAGTCGCTGTGATTAGTCATTCCTTAATGCCGCAAGCATCCTCAACACATCGCGGAAGCAAAGCCGCAATGGCCACTTCTGTCATCTTTTATCACTGGTGCCTAAGTGGCTTGGAACCGGCTCCTTCAGAATATGCCCTTATCGAGCAGTGCGCCTTGCTCACGTTGTTCATGTTTGCTCCGCCATGTTTTTTTCTGTTTCAAGATCATGACCGATACACAACAAGCCAAGCAATCCTTAGCCGATATTGAAGCTCGACATCAAGACATAATGAAGTTGGAAAAAAGCATCAAAGAACTACATGACATGTTCATGGACATGGCTATGCTAGTCGAAAGCCAGGTAACTTGGTCTTATCAATTTTTCGTACTGGTTTTTTTACTGCTCCTCTTTTCTGGACCGTATATGTTGTTTCTTCCGGTATTCGGTGTCTAACTTTGCTGTTGGGGAATTATCCTCAGCTGTCAATTATTCCGAAGCACGCTTGCAGAAAGAACAAAACCAGGGACATGTAGCGCATAAGATCTGTCGAATTCACATGCCACGACCTAAGTTTTACTCATCAATTCTGCAATTTTTGGTTGAAGTTGATTGATGTACTGGGTTGATCAACAATCAGCTTTTATAGACGCATGACAGACAACCTCCAATTCAGATGCCGTAACTAGTCATCATATGCAGTGGGTGACTCACACTTCTCTGTTCATATGATATCCTTATGCGAAAAAATTCTTAAGCTGTAGCACACTTGGTGCCCAGTGGCCATGACATCCGAAAGAAGCACGACGGCTGGGATACTGCTGGGTTGCCCAAGTCTAGACAGGGGGAGTCGAAGTGCTGAGGCTGGGTTCAAACCACGAACCTTCCGGTCCGTAAGCTTCACCTTAACCACTGAGCTACCTCGAGCTCCTCACGCGAATGGGTAAACAGTCTTGTTGCTTCGATCTGTGCATTGTTTTATTACTTATCTCATGTTTTAGAGCCTATTCGGTAAGTGATTCTTGCTAAGGCATTTAAAACGAGATTTCCTGCTTGAGGTGGATGGCCGAGGTCACGAGTGAGTGGAGACTATTTGGTTGATTGACCCTGTTGACTCATAAACCTACTTAACACACGTCATGTTTTTTGTTGATTCATTTCGTGCGTATTCACGAATGTACTTGAACAGTACATCATTTAGCATCACTTTGCTGCGCAGAAATGGGTGTCAGTCCCCAGCATTTGGTGTTCATCCGGTTACACGATCGTCTCTGCCGTAATGTATCATAGTATCCTTACTTCAAACTGGCGTTTAGCTTTAGTATTTTCACTGGTACTGGTGCTGCATCCATCTCCATCATTCGTCTCTAATTCACGTTAGCATCATCCAAGCCTAAATACATTGATGTGACTATTCGAAACTAATCGTTGGGGGTGCCGTTAGAGTGTTGTAAGAGTTATCCCTAACTTATTTTACTTTCGATCTCCTTTCGTTACTCGAATAACAAGAGATAGCGCTTGCATAAACCTTGATGTTCTTGTTGCTCATGACACTGATTCTGCTCATACCATGTATTCTCCATAATAACCAACCGCATCCTATTCAGTTGCCTTCGTCTGATTCTGCTGTGCGATTTTGCAAACATCGATTTTGCTAGAAGTGACCAGATGTTCATTCTTGTGCTTATTCGAGGTGTCTAATTACGGGAGAAGTGATGCACAAGTTCTTTGAGCTCAACACTCAGTGATACACTAAATGAGTAGCTTGTATAGACTCTTGTAAGTTCCTTGGCCTTCCGTTCGTTCAGGTTATGCAAAATGCTCCCGTCACTGTCACGACTTACCGTGTCGTGACCGTGATTCCCAAGTCCATGTATTTTACTAACTTTTGTGTACACGGATTCCGTTGGACGTATCTATTCTGCCGTTAGAGTCGGTCTGTCTGTGTCACTAGCAGTGCGTCATCCCCGTCTTGAAAATATGCCACACTAACCGAAACACTTGCTCTCACGAGTTGATTGGTAATCATAAGATCCGGGTGTGGGGTGCCTTTCTACCTTCACTACCGTACTTACTGGTACAATCCTAGTGAATTAACTCCATTGTGTCGTTCGACAGTCTACGAATGACCGTTGTAGATTTTTCATTTATAGTCTTCATGTTTCACGATCCACTTGTTTCATCCACTGTTCCAGCCGTACTTTGCGTCAATATGTGTACGTTATATCGTGGTCTCTCAGCCAATTCCCGAATCCGCTTGATCTGACCAGCGGTCTGTGCAAACAATTTAGTGTCATATAGTTTTGGGGCATATTCACTACCCACGGGACAAACGTTTCCGACGCTAGGTGATGTTTGTCTGTCAGTCTGTCTCTCACTCTTTGGTAATTCAAATCCTAGTTCACATATTCATACCCCAATTCTCTTCCTGTCGCTCCTGGTACTAAATAAGACTCGATGTTCGATTCAGCACTTCATTGCGCCCTGCGCTGCTGGAATGATGAAAGAACGTTATCTTAACGTTACCCGTACCCACCATAAAGAACTATACTCATTTACGCAGATCGCTCCAATTATTGCCATGATGGACACTTAGGTCATATACGAGAGTTCTAGGCGCACTTCTATTGGGATGCGTTCATTGTGTCACAAATCAGTTCATTGAGTGGTCATCAAAGAATCCTCATCAAAGCTTCAAATGGGTTACCCAGATCGATATTTATTCCTGCTCATTTTTCTGGTTTTGATCTTAAATCTCCCGGTGTTCACTTTTTGTATTGTTTGATTAAGGTAGAAGCTCCTGTCAGGAAATTTAACGTTTCGGGTCAAACTCTGGCTCTTTGACTTCTGCTCTGTAGGCTTTTTTTTAACCTGGTAGCTAGTGTATCAGCCTTTGTATTGCGGATGTTGTGATGTAAAGGCATGATACAGGCTAACACTGTATGTTTGCACATTATGCAGTCGTTATGATGTCCTAATTCTGTCCACATATGATGTGGGAGCTTGAAGCGCACAGCCAGGAGCGACGAAAAGCGTCTTGCTTGAAAATTCACTCTGTATTGGAGGTAGTAGTACCTCAAATGTCTACATTTCAATGAATGCATTATTGAGCCATACCTGTCAGTGTCATTAAACATTGATGTGTCCCATTTCTAGGTCCACGTCTGGGGCCTCCGATGCCACTGATCACTTGGCCTCTCTATGATTCCCTGAACAGCATGTATGGATATTTGTCGACGTCATTGTTAGCAGGCGGTAATACGATGTAGTTTCTATTATGTTTGGTCAGGGCTTATAATATTGGTGACCCACTTAGTTTGATGGACTGAATGCCGGAGTAGGCTTTATTCCAACTGTGTTGAGATTTTAACCGGGCATTCTTTCCACACGTTATCGATCCATAGATCTTGCTGAGATAAGTTACCTTTATTCCAGACATATAATGAACGATAGCACGCAACACAGCCATTTACCGCCAACAAACCAACGTGCTTCACGCATTTAATTCCCCGCGCTGCCATCCCAATGAACGACATTTGTCTGCCAAAACTAACTCAATTTATGCACGGTACCAATCAGCTGTTTTTTGCACTCCTGTGAATAAATGTGGAAAACGTCAGGTGTGTTATCTCTCTCGTTCTGGGTGTATCCAGACAGCCGCATGAGTTATGTTTTCCGGCTTTATTGCCAACGCAAGTGTCTACTACAACAAATTCTGATCCGCTTCTCTCACTGTAGCTTTAGTTACCACCTACTGGTCAGGTAGCTTTTGTTTTACTCAATGGGAACGATTTTCTCCCAGTTACTTCCTAAAACAATGGAGCCCCGCTATGGAAGCTTAAGTCTGTTTCATAGGTGAATGGTGGTTATGAGACTTGGTTACCTTCATCCTATCAACTCAATTTTGATCTGGAGGTATAATTGACCAGCAATTAAGCGAGCGACCTCGTTGAGGTCAAAATAAGGAGCTGTGGTTAACAGCGGTGGTGTTTCATTGAAGTAAACAAATTCATTCCACATGTTCCACATTGAGGCATGCCAATACTTTCATTTATATCCCTGGGCCATATTTGTGAAACTGATCGTCCAGTCTGATTCCCACACTGGGCGTGTTTGCCTGTTATAATAGACTCATGGCTCTTGCACTGGACAATGGCTGTTATGTGACAACCAGTATCACTAGGCGTTTAGGTCCTTTTCGCGCGCTATAGTGGGCCTTCGAACCAGCACGTTTCCAACTGATACACCTACTTGTGTCCCTAACACGTGTGCCATAGAATCGTCCTACTCCTTTCCAACAGGCAATAAGGTTTATTGCGACCGAGTTCGGGGGCCAGACGGCTCAGTGGTTAGAAGGTCCCTGGTTTGAATCCGACCTCTGCCTCTCAATTCCCCCTGTCTAGGCTTGAGCAACCTGGCAGTGTTCTAGCCCTCATGCTTCACTCTAGTGGCATGGCAGTTAGGCACTGAAAGGATGCTACAGTGGCTGAGTTCGCCAGTGTAAACAACATTCAGGTGATACTGAGCAGCGCTGCTTTCACCTAACTCTTGGAAGACTGCAACAGTGTATTATGTGTCAGCAGAACTGCTGTACCTTATCGGAGGATGTAGTTCGTCGCAAAACCTCTGGATTTTATGGTTTGTATACCTCATTAACCCATTGAACCGTACTGCAAAGTACTTGTGCAATATCCACAATCTTTACTTCCAAGTTACTGATCTGATGAACAGTCCCCTGCCTTTCCAGGATCAGTGCGGCAATTCGTTTCTTAGTTTTTAATGTTGTATGATTTATTCGGGTTAGTATAACCTGGTAGGCATGCGAGAGCTGGTTAGGGCCCGCTTCGTTTGGTAACAGGCGACACGGATGACGAGTCGGGTATCGGGACGAAATCAGCTGCATCCGTCAGTATTTCAGTATTTCGTCAAAAGCATGGTAGGCAGGTTGCCAGCACTTAGTGATGACTGCACTAAACTCACAACACTGGTGTGCACCTCGTTCAACCAACCAACAAAAGCCCCGCACAGACAGAGACGTGTCCCATGTATACAGGGCAACACGACATGTACGAAAATTTTTGTAACATGGGTTCGGGTTGTTATACACTTTTCTGAACTTACTTTGTTGTTTCGTATATGTATCTGTCATGACAATACCTTTGTCGTCATGCGCATTTCCCTAATCTTTGCTACTGTTCTTATTCCAGGGTGAAATGATCGACCGGATCGAGTACAACGTAGAGCAAGCCGTCGACTACATAGAGAGCGCCAAGGCCGATACCAAAAAAGCCGTCAAATACCAAAGTTCCGCCCGCAAGGTAGGCATTCAATGCGTGCCACCGTCGTCTCAAACACTTGGTTGTCACTGTTGTGGTCAGCTGCTCGCCAACGCTGCTATTGTTGTTCTCTATGCGTCAAGTGTTGTTGCTCGTTGTCACTGGTGGTGGTGCCTTTCCCACTTCTCTGATCGTTGTTTTATGATCTTTTACCTCCTGAACTGCTATGTCGCTCTTATCTTTCTTGAGTGTTTGACTGCTCTAGTGATTTTCGCCGTTTTTGTTTGGCATCGTATCTTCATCGGTGTCTCCTTGTTACTTTTTCGTTTACTTCACTGTTTTCTCTCGTCGTCTCCTTTTCTGTGCATGACTATTTGTTTTATCGATCAAACGAGAGCTGATACCGTCATTCTATCACTCCTGGTGTTATTGTGTGACTTTCGTAAGGAATCTCGTAAATCTGACAACTCCGAACGCGGTGATTGAAGGGCCTCCGTCCGCTGAATTCGGTGGTTTGTGATGCGTGACACTGTGGCGCACATTGTTCTGTACAAAATACTGCTGTTTAGGAGGTCGTTCGGAGTATAGGCTGCGCTTTCTTGGAATATTCGACTTATCCGGTCATAGTATAATTATTGGTATATAGGTCATCACTCCCACATACCTATGACGTAAGACGATCGCGCCGCGATAGAAGAGGTATAAAATAGGGTGATTTTGCAATTTTAGAAGACAAAAACTATGCACCAGCTACTTTATGACTTGGTGATTGGCGAGCTACACTATTCACTAAGTAAGTCCACATAGGCTGTCAGCTGTCGGTATGTACAAGTTGGTCTGCTCGTTCTTAAACATTTGTTCGGTACTTCACCGTATTATGTTGCACTCTCGTGCACTACAGCGTATGCTGGCAAATTACATTTCCAAAGACGTGCATGACTGGCAATTCATTTTCCCAATTGATGATTTCGTCTCTGACCTTGTTCATTGATTAATCTGAGGTGGTGTGCAGCTTGGTGTTAACTTCAATCATCCCACTGTGCATTCTGATCGTGATTATGGGGTATCCCGTTGATGTGCATATTTCTATCTTTTGCTCCATACTGACCCAAGTAAAGAGTCCTTAGAATGTTTAGGCGTATTTTTTTCACCAGGCTCTCATGCTCAGAAGCATGTGTTCACGGACAGATCCAACGGGTTTTCAGCGCCGCAATGATCGACCAGCGTGATATTTCAACACAGATCTTGGTAATGTGGCTCAAAATGTTGCAGGGGGTTTAGAGCGATAACAAGACTCGTACAAACATGTGGGTCACCTTGGCATAGGTCATTGGCACACCTTAACTCGGGCACTCGTGAACATCGGCCTCAGCAAGGGAGTCCATCAAGTCTCCAGCTCCGGAATTCATCCTATGCAGATGAACCAAAACATTGTTTTCAGCAAAACGCTGCCCAAGTTGACAACTGATTGTTTCAGGTCCCGGGCTTGAGAACTTAAGTCCATCTCACATGCGAAAGTACGCCCAACGATTGCACTTCTCTTTCTTTTTTCTGGGAAGGACAATGGTTTTATTCCGAACATGGGTACAATTAGACCGGACCGTATGCACGTGAGGATATTTGCACGTTTGGCGTCGGAAAAAAACTTTGTTCAAGTTACTAAAAAATGGGCGTTTCTCAATATTTATAAGGGCAGAACGCGCCCAAGTCTTGTTAACGATTCACGTTGAAATGTGATTGCCGTTTATGTATAAGAACTTCGCCCGGGCTTGTCGTTTATGAACAGTCCAATGAGGATTGAGACTTTGAACGCTACTCACCATTCGAGACCACCATCATATACCAGTTTCGGGTGATACGTCGATCGAGAAGTAATCGTAGATGGATTACGCTTTTTGACGGATTCTCCACCACCAACAGTCAAAAGACGATTGTTTCCCTCAGGTTACGAAACCATTTGAAATGGAAGGTGATTTGGGGAACATCTGAGTGAAATGTTTCCAAATTTGATACTTGGAAGTTATCAGATTCTCGAGTTCTGTTGATAGAATTGAGCTTCTGGAGACGGAGGCCTACACGCATGAATTATGGGTCAAAATGTGCGTTGTATCTATTCAGCAACAAATTTAATTACATCACTGCTACATGCGTGTTCTTCCGTCGTTTAATTTGATGAAAAGCGGATGTTGCTGGTCAGTCGCTTGTGATCAATCGTCCACCATTTATCGGGAGGTTGCGAGTTCGAGTCTTCCCGGCGATTCGTGAGATTCCAAATGGGGATGAAACAGTTGTACCGTGCTTTTCAGCATAGATTGACTTCAATTTCGAGGCGGAGTTCCAACTGCAGTATCCAAATCACCTCACACTATCAACTAATATCTTATCCAAATATTTTGACGTGTTTCGTAAGTGCCCAGCTGACTCGTCTTGCTTCCGAAACCGCATGGATTTTTCACCCCATGATTGGCGGCTTCACAGTCAGCCACAAATCGTGCACATTCCAAGTCTTGAATGAACTCCCCACAATTTCTGCAAAGTGATGAACACGGTCCTGGCTTACGTTTAACTGGTCATCTAGGGTTTCTACCGCACCACTGGATTGCAAAAGTGCCGTTCATGCAGTTACCATTGAAATCTGTCCATTTGGTTGGCCTCATTTTTCACTGTTCAGTGAGCAAAGAGGTTTTTATGGTATTAGATGTTTGGTTGATCTCATACCTTGATGTTCCACGGAACAAGCGGAATGTGGTTTGGATCATTTATAAAAATCAATGACTTGAAACCCTGTTTGCCGGTCGCTGTCTTTAGTACTCACGTCAGTGTCGTTTGAACAGGCATCCTTCTATCCTAATACAGTTATTCCAGTTATTCCACGCTAAAACAGGATGGCTTAGCTCCCATTGGAGCTCATGAGCAGTGGTTATCCTTGATCGTGCCCCCTAGTCTGACATGCCTGACGGGTTTTCTACCACTGGTCCTCCAGCGAGCGCTGCTCTTTTCGAAAAAAGTACAACTGTTGTGCGTAGCGGTGGGTTACCGGTTGTGCACAACCAGTAACCCACCGCTACGCACTGATGATGTCACCTCGATTGGTGGTGAAACGTTTGCAACCAAATTGTCCAGCTCAGCGAACAAGCCAACGACCATCTACGCTACCTGAGCTGCCGACATTCTCCTCTATAGAAAGTACAACTGTGCGTTTCTCCACAATATTCCGGGCTTGTGTGACTGTCGCGTAAGAATTGGTATAAACACATCGAGAAAAACGTAGGACCGAGTGTTATAAATTTGCTAATTTGGGAGGCAATACGTGCAATTCAAATAAAGTTGTGGTGCTAAAAAGGTAGTCTAATTTAACAGTGAATTGCTTGCAATATTTAGGCGGACCTAACAACCAACCTGAGCCAAGCAACATATACGAAAAGGTGTAAACTTTCATTTTATCGTGTCATTTGCGGAATTAAACTGGTGTTCAGGCTTCGAAAGTAAGCGAGGGATGCTTGATGTTTAGCTGGTCTTATGAATGCCGACATGACTGTTTCCCAGTAACCATGATAATTCTGTGTTGTTCACTGACATGGGTTACGAGAGTCAAAACTACTGGCAATCGGTAAAGTGAACACTGCTCTTCAGTCATCATATTTTTCCCACTTAGCAAGCATTGATCAGCCTTTGGTTTTAAATGTAACGGTTCTAGACAAGGAAGCAAACCATACTTTTTGTAAAGAAACATGGGCATCGTCCGGGAACTCACATTGGTGGGAGGAGCACATTGTTCCAATAGAGAAATGGTTTCCACAGGTTAGTAGTCTGGTTGTCAAGAGGCCGAATGAGCGCATACATACTTTCCACAACTTGGCGTTCAAATGCCCAAGTGAAAGAGAACATATATGGTTTTTCGGTATTACGAGGTTGGTACTAAGTGACCATTTATGACCTAGTAAATCCTGACGTCCGGTTTGAAGAGTTCTCAAATGTTCGCTCGACCCATCTGCTGGGCCAAATGCAATCTACGCTGCTGATGTTGCGAAAGTGGATTGTAGTTATAACCACCCCCCCCCCC